TCATCATATTACTAGATCGTATACCACTGGCAGAAAAAAAAGAATGAAATATTGAAAAAAATGGACAAGTTGCACAAAGGAAAAGTTTTTTTTGATACAGAGATATTATTAGTGATATGAAAAAGTTATTTTATTTAACTAAATACATTCCTGTAGAAAAAGTTTTATTTTATACTTTTATCAGATGGGTGTACAGTACAAATGATATGGGCGTATAGCTGTTGTATTCATGTTCAGTGTAAGGTAGGTCATAAGCACACTTGGATAACTGCACTTACTAAGACTTGTCTTATAGACTTTCTCTGAACAGCAGTATTCTTTAATTTGAAAGTCGCCATTTAAGCTTTTTATTTGCATTATATCTCTTTCTTGAGGTTTAAAATGTAGTTTTGACTGTATAAACTGTCTGTTCACTTTTCTCCCTTAACTGGCGGTATGTAAAAGTAAAATTTACTTCATACAGGTGCTTCTGAAACCATAGTCAACAATTCCTTCAAACGACTGCTGGATTAGTTCAGCGGTCTATTTGTAAAAGCTTTTTTTAAAGCTGGGGATTTAACAGTGACTGCAGTTTAAAGAAAAATTGCTTTGAAACTTTTTGCTTCAATTATCAACCTTGAAAACGTCTAACTAAAAGCTTTCATGTAGAACCCCATTAGCCTCCTATTGTCTTTATGGCTTCTGCTGTTTTTGAACCTTTTCAGTCGTCTCAATCTGGTGACATTATCACCTGACTGAGACGACTACGGCTACCTTATATGGTATTCCATTATTATATAATAAATAAATCTTCTACTAAACAAGAAAAAAAATTAAATCTTGCAATCACTGATAATCTAAGAACATTTCTACTCGAACAAAAAAAATTCCTTTATTATTTATTATTTTATAAACAAAATTGAATAAGTTTTAAAAATTGTTTAGGCAATAATTTGGATACGGCATCAAAACGGAGCAAAAAGGTGGAGGTATGTTTCACCAATTGTTTAAATGCCAACACGAGGCTTTTATTTGCTTGTTTTTTGTTTTTTTGTTTTTTTTTTTCTGATTACTGCGGCTGTAACATTTAGTATATCAATTGGAAAACAAAATATTATTATTATCAACAAAACCAAAGTAAATTTTAGCGTGAAGAAATTGTTTTTCCAAGATCTAGTCATAACGAAACAGCAAAAAAAACTTCGCATATCAACAGAGTAATTGGTGTCAATGGTAGCAAAAACAATCTTTCGTATAAGAATACCGACAATGCTCTTTTGGACGACGGGTAATTATGTTTTTGTCTGGTTAATAAAAATTCAACTACTGCAGTTGTTTATAAACTTTTAAATTCAGTTATAGTCTTTTTGTTCTATTCACTTTTCAAACAACTGCTTGCCTTATTCTATAAACAGTGTTTACTGTTAA